TTGAAGTTTAACCAACCCTAAAATCTTTCCAATTTATTTTACCTTGATACAAAATTCTTGGGAACTTTATAATGTAGTTTTACTTTTCATCTTACAATCAAGAAATTAAGACTGTTTTAATATTTATTTTTGTTAATAACTGAAACCCATACCAATTAAATTTCAATTTATCTTTGTTTCTTGAACCTATTGGCAATCATTTCCTGGATTAAATTCCAGATCTATTTCCCTCTATTCTCAGGCCCTGCTTCATCGATAGTTCTACGAATTCCGTATTCAACAAAGCCGGCCCATTGATTGGGTAATTGTTTTTCGCGCTTGATCGATCAGACATTCAGTCGGCAGGTATTCAGTCGGTTAGAAAGTGTTACGTAAGTGAGTAGGTACTAGCGAATGTATCTATATCTATACAGATGTATCTGCAACTCACCTGCATTCCCGTCTCGCGCAGATGCTCGTTGACCCAGTTGCGGAAGGTATTCGCCTGGATCTCCACCCAGAGGTCCTCGTTTCCACGGATGTTCATGCCCTTGGCGGCAGTGCCCTCGGGACTCCTGGCCACCAGCCCGGCGTGGGTGATCTTCTGCGTCTCGGTGCTGCCATCGGAGTTGTGCTTCAGCAGCCCCGCGTGCGTCACCTTGGCGCCCTTAATGTCCTTGACGTCCATCTTCACTGCACGTCACTGCACTTCGCCTGCGACTCGCACATATGTATATATTCACAGGTGTAACTCACGTTCAAACACTGATCGGGAAATGGATGGACAAAAGAATTTACTATTGATCAGATCGCGATCGTAGTATCGTTTTCGGTTTCAGTATCGGTTTTAGTTTCGTTTGCACACGCTCGCTGCTCGAAGCGAACTGGAATTTCAGTTTTCAGTCGCTCGATCCCAGCGGCTTCTGCTCTCTTGGCCTGGCCAAAACAAACGATGACGTCATGGTTTAAGCTCAAAGCTCCAGAGAGCAGAGGGTTAAGAAAAAAAAAAAAACACAAAAATGCGGGGGGGTTTCGCCTGCGAATGTGTGTGAGTGTGAGTGAGTGTGTTTGCGAATATCTCTGAATCTGGCTATAAAGCAAAACTGGTTTCGTCGCTTCCAAGCCAAAACGAAGCGGGCGAAAAGGAAAATTGAATACAAAAATAACAAAAAAGTAATAAAACAAAAAAAATGAAGAAAAAAAAAGAGTCTGAAAAATAACAGAAATCACTTAGTTTGGAATTTCGCCGCGGCAAAAGCGAGCAGATCTGGTGGGCAGTGCTGTGGTATTGTGAATGTTGATTGTTGCCTGTTGACTGTTGATGTTTGAGCAAGTCTTTCACAAACGCCACGCTAGAAGGCCAACATGTGTGTAAACGTGGGAGCCACCGCCGTTGATAATGGCTATAATCATCGTAATGAAATCTGCCACGATCAATTGTCAATTGTCTGGCCGTTTTCACTTGTCGCACTTTTACCTTAACGATTTCCACAAACCGAAAGTTGGCATTTTTTTTATGAACGAACAACAAACAGTGGTTGGCCTTTTTGGCTTGATTCCACACCGTGTCACAAAGACAACGAGGCGTCAAAAGACTGTCTAACCAACTTAATTATAGGAAATCCGGTTGCGTTTCCAACAAGTCAGTTGCGCCAGCTCACATCTATCATAGCTTGTCCAGTTCTGAGCGAGGTTGGTATGCAGATTTTCAAAAACAAATACTATCTATTGACAAACACTTTTCGGAGAGGTAAACAACTCTGAGATGACATCACTCATCACTTGCTGGGCACAGCGATGAGTTGTGGCTAAAACATTTTTTAACGCCCCTACAGGAGAGTACAGAGCGAGAAAATATTACCAAAACGGGAGGTCGATTCATTTTTTGTAATATTAACGAGCAATACCTAACTATTGATGGTATCTATTCTACTAATTTGACATTATTTAACCTAAATACAGACTGATATTATCTTCAACTTAATTACACATATAAACCCTAACATCTTTTTACTAAGCAGTGCTATTACATCCAATGTACTTCAATTTATTTAAAACACAGATGACAAATTCCCCTGGCATTGTTGTTTTTTTTCTCAGTGACAAAACTGCGTTGCTCGAATCGAATAAATTAACTGGCGGGGACAGCAAAAAGTGGAAATAAATGAATTGCTCCTCCAACTTATGAGTGATCCCGCGGCTGATGTCATTTACTGACACTTGACATTGGCAATGAACCTAATTAGTTGCACTCGCCACTGGAGTGGAATGAGCCAACCCAAGTCCACTCCACTCCTCACCGAGTTCTATATATTCAGCTCGAGGCAAGGTCATGGGAATGGTAATGATAGTGTGGTATTGCTCAGGGGAATGGTGATGCGAATGGGACTGGGAATGACCAATCCGCTCCTTAGTTTACTCAGTTGGTCAGCAGGCAAATATCGAAAGTGTTGTCGTGACTTAAATTGGTAGAAGAGGGCCAGCCAGCACACCTAGTTTAGGGCATTACGTAATGGCCAAAACTTCATGAGTTCGCAAACAGGCAAATATCGGTGTGTATATCGCTGTATCTATATCACAGAATGCGATGTGCACGTAGGTGTCTGGCATTTTTTACACTTTTCGATTTGTTTGCTGTCCGAATATATATTCGTTTTTTTTTTTTGTTGTTGCTGCCTTGCCAACCCACTCAGCCAGCGAAATCTCGTAGTCGTCGTCATCGCGACTGCCACCCACATGGTGTGGTTCAACGCCTCGTTCTAGACGTGGGTGCGATTTCAAGTTTGATTTGTGCCAAAACCGTGTACCAAATGGCCATTGATTTCTCAATGATTCTGTGGTGGCTGCCTAGCTACAACTCTGTTTGTGCCTCTGCTGTGGGAATAGATTTGGTTAAATGTTCTATGACAACGTCATTAACTTTGAAATATATGAGATTAACTGGAGTGGAGGTGATACCCATAATTATGGTGATGGATGGTTACGGAATTTACTACGAAATGCTCATCTTCGGTGGGACTTTGAATAATGAATGGATTATATGTAAATGAACGAATTTAGGGGATTACTTAGCTGGTTATATTTTTGGATTTTCCCAGGGGATTTTTAAGCCAGTTTATCCAAGATAAAAATTTTATGATTTGAAAAAATGCCAAATATTATTATTAGGATTCCCTGCCAAAGGAAGCTCTAACATTTAATGTATAATTTTCATTATCTGAGAGCAGAATGAAACTATTTCTAGTCAGAATGGCATTTCCTCTTTAAGTGAGCTTCAACGACTGGGAGTGGGCTGTTAGTTCGCCATAAGATATTACATATTCCACTTCCTGTTGGCCAAATGGGATTGTAACACTTGCCCAGCGGTTGAGGGCCACGCCTCAAAGTCAAATGATGGCCTATTAGCGCACGCTTCTATGGCAAACAAGCGTTTATTTTTGGCAGCATTTTTATGGCGGTTCGTCATAAATAGAAAAACCCTCCAAGCGATCTGCTCACACAAAACGGTTGGATATGTGTGTGCACATGTATTGCGAGCTCTTTTTGAGGCGCTGCCAAGTTTGTGTCTTCAGTCTTTTGATTAATGCCGTTAGGCGTCGCCAAAGCGCAGCCAAGCCAAACCTTCTTGGTCTATGTACATTAACGAGTGTGTGTTCTTTTGTTTTATAATTTTTGCTCATTACTCTGCCTCGTTTATTCGCCTAAAAGCCGCAGCAATTACAATTGAAAATGGTTTTTTTGGCCAGTTTAAAAACCAATCGAACAGCGCCAGCGGAAAAACCAGATTCAGATTCAGACGCAAACCCAGACTAAGATTCAGATTCGCTTTCGGTTTTGGTTTTAGTTTTAGTTGTTAGTGTTGTTGTTTTTGTTTTCGCTTCCCCTCGCATTCGCCTATTATGCAATGGGCTAGGCCAGATATCTGAATCTGAATATCTTATAACTGCGACTTTTGGTATTTATGCTGGCGGCCGAGTTTTTGTTGCGAATTCACACGCCCCGCGGCCCGTTCACGTGTTTAGCACAAATTCCGCACGAAAATGTATATAAATGTATATAGACGTATAGCCCCTTATAATTTAAGCAGCAGCTCGAAATTAGAACAACGCTCGGCACGCAAGACTCAGGCTCGAATCCAAAGAGAAATACAGAGAAATAGACTCGAAATTAAACACAAGGCGAACGGCGAGACACATGAAGATTCATAAGAAAAATAAATATGTAGTTAAAGTTAACGTTAACGCTAACGTTAGACGACGGCATCAGAAGTTATTAAAAAGTCAGGGGGGAGTAGCACACTCAGCACAGCACATATATGTGTAGGTATATATACCAGACATATATGAGTGTACGATTGCCTGGTTTTTTGTTTTGTTTCCCTTTTGGCACTTGTTGCTTACACTTCGGATTCGCCTTCGAGCGGGTTTGAAAAAGCGTTTGGGGTTTTAAAACACACGTCCAGCGCGCACGAGTTGCTCACAACGACTGAAATTGGCAGCAGACATATAAGACTGACGATCGGGCCAAAAGCTCTTCTCTGCACTGGAAGTTTCGAATTGGAATCCGGCGACGTCATCGTTTTTGGCCCGATCTCGGCTTGTTTTGCTTAACCGCTTTGTTGGCGCTTTTGTTTTGGGCCCCCAATTCGCTCAGGTGCCACGTTTCCGCTTAGCAAAGCGGTTAGTTGGTTCTCGAGACCAGAGACCAGAGAACCGAGAACCAAGACTCGATTGGAGTGGAGTGTTGGCCTAATGGACTCGACTACTCAACCAGCTCGTTAATTGCAGGCGTCGGCAATCCGATGAGTGTGTGGTTTCGGCCTTTGTAATTGAACAATTTTGCGGCTTTTTCTCAGATCCCATTGATTACGACATGCAGTTGCATTCGATCGACCAACCGATTGTTGGCCTAAGTGGTTGGATGAGTCGATGGATATTACGATATATTGGGTTTTGAGTATTGGCCCCCCGAAGCAAAATGAAACGCACGATTTTCATGTATTAAGAATTTTCTTTTTGTGTTTTGTTTTGATTTTATTTGTATTTCAGTTTTTCTTTCTGGTTTTTTGGTTGTCGTTTTACTTTATAATTCCATTTGTTTTGGTTTTTCATTTTACCCTTTTTCAGATTTCAGAGTGGTTCAGCAATGTAAACGGCTTTGAAACTCTCGCACGATAAGCTCGATTTACCTGCTGCAAATCGGGGCATTTTCTGATCTGATCTGATTTATATAGTGACCGTTTTTAAAAATGCCTTTTCCTGCCCGTTGATCTGAGAACTTTGGTGTTTCTCTGTGTTTTTTTTGTTTGGCTATGAAGTCAATGGTGAATTAATTTACCGTTTAGTTCTTATAAATTAATTAATTAATTTATAGTAAAAATAAAGCTTTAAACGTTCTTGTTTTGTTTTCTTTTCCTTGTTTCATAGATCTCAATGCATCAAATAATTTAAAAAATTATCAATATGTAAGCCATTCAAACTCGCCACCTATTTCACCCTCACCTGGCGTCAACAACACAACCGAATCGATGTAGTTCCTTGTATTTTACGTTCAATAACAAATAGATATATGTCTATACGCGCTCTAACGGAAAACATTGAAGAAATCAGAAGGAATAATTCTAACAAGGAACAGGGAATCTGCCCTGCAATAAGCGTGCTAATAAGCCATAAAAATGTAGTTTAATTTAGTTATACTCGTATTATTCAACTTTAACTTTGGCAATAATTGGCTAACTAAGGAATCAAAAACTCCGATAAACTTTTACAAGTTTCCGTTTAACACTTTTCTTGTTCGGTATAAGCTTTGTCTTAGATGAAACCCCATTTAATGTTTATTGTAATTATTAATTAATTTTTAATCCATTATATGATATTCCAAAAAGTAATTAGGTTGAAAAATACGAAAAAGAATTTCCTTCTATTTGTTCTCTAGAAAAAGGAAAATAGGTTTACCTCGTTGATAAAAATCTAAGAAAAATCCTAACAAAATTCGAGCTTAAGTTTTCGGCCTTTATATTGTTGGCATGAAATGAGTTTCGTTCCAGATTCCGTTTTCTCGGCAGATACTCAAACGTATCCTGGCTCATACTGTAAAGTTTAGTTTCTTATTCGAGTTAGCTATATAATTATTAGATTTCCTTATCAACTCAGTTTGTGGTTTTTTAATATTTTGGGAGTTGACACTGAACAATTTTCTTAATCGATCGAGACTCGATCTTTTTTGGTCTTCTCTGGTACACATCTAATGGTATAACTAGGTATAACTAGAATTACAGCTAAATTACTTGTTTCTTCTTTATCGCAGCCCCCATATTATGGGGATTCGTGAACTGCGTTCTGCGTTCTGCTACAGAACCCTCTTGCCTAAATTAATATTTAGTTTTTTATCTCAACTACAATCTTCAGCATTGGTTTTGGCTTTTGGGGCAACTAACTAAAGTTAAATACATTTAGACCTTTAAATTTTTACCATATCAAGTATAATGCAGATCATGTATAATGTAGATACTATATACGACAGTAGTACAATATAATATTGCATTAAAAGTGTTTTCTTTTTGACATATCTACTCATTAATATTGGTTTTATTAATAGTTTAATGTCTTTAGCGTTTTCTTCGAGTTTTCTTTTATGTTTATTATTATTATTAATATAGTTTTTCGAGTGTGTGGTGTATGCTCTGGCAGTTCTTTTCCAATAGTACAAATATTTTGCAAATATTCACTTAGTTGTCCATAAATTGTTTATGCATTATTTTCAGTTGTAAAGTAAATCGTTTCCCATATACACATCTAGTAAATTTTATTTTTTTGAATTACAATTAGCAAATATTACAATAGATACGATTCATTTGTTACACTCATGAGTTAAAGTAATCTTTTAGTTATTTTTTTCAGATGATCCATACTTATGTCATTGATCATAATGCTAATTGAGTTCCTAGAGCGAAAGTATTTACAATGGGAATTCGAATACCCGTTTCGGTTTGGTTTAGTAACCATTAAAAGGAGCGAAGAGCGTCTAGGCCTAATGATATCTATGTAAATCTCAATCTATTTCTGAGCTTAGTATGGAAAAAGTGTAAGTGTTTGGGTAACAAGTTGTCTAGGGCTTCTGGAAAAAGTTCTCTCGGATTATCTATTAAAGCTTCTCCGACCCGCTGTGCATAACTTAACCAATTACAATCGTTTTTGCGTGTATTTTGATCTGAATTTCTTCCATTTCTATGTACAGACAATTTTTCTTGGCAGTGCCATTTTTGGGTTTTATTTTACTTATGGTGTCACGGGATCATAAGAGATATTAATTGAACATCTTGGGGGCTATCTGGCGCCCAGTCCTCCCATCTCTATCTCTCTCTCTTCGGGCTTCTCTAAAGCGAGAAGTACTTGGCACAGGTCTGAGTCCCCGTTTCACTCTCGAGTGGGCGCCCTTGATCCTCCGTCTCCTGATTCTTCCGATCCTCCTGCTGCCGTATAGCTGCTGCTGCTCCTGGTATGTTTATTTTTTATTTTATTTTTTATTTTTTTATTATTTTTTCGTTAGTAAGGCAATTTGGATTGCATGCATAATACACATACACACACAAATACAAAACACAGTGAGTGAGAGAGAGAGAGAGGGAGAAACACAAATACGAGACAGATAGAGAGTGGGAGATTGGGGAGGCGAGAGATAGATGCGATATGATGCGGTTTAATGATCCAAATCGCCCGATCGCCAGATCGCCGGATGCACTCAGTTTGGCGGATGATCAATGATGATCGTGGAGTCATGAGGAACATGATATGTACACCATACCGATCGCCTGATGGGGCAGCACGCTCCCGTGTTATATGATACTCTCTCTGTTCCGTTCCAGCTCCTCCGTCTCATTCTCGGGATCCACGCTGGATGTGGACGACACTCCGCAGATTTGCATCTCGATCTCGGCCAGTCTATTCTCCAGATCCCACTGCTGCTGCGAGAGCTTTGTGTTCAGTGCCTGATTCTCCGATTCCACCGTATGCAGTCGTTCCCTCAGCCTCTTGATCTCGTCCTCGAGAACCTCGTGGGAGCCCAGAAGGGGCGTGGTTCCACCACCTGCACCGCCCACACCCGCCCCATAGCACTCCAGCTGCGAACTGGAGTCGCAAATGTGACCTAAGTTCGGGGATTATATGGTTATAATGTGGTATCCTGCCATAACATTATATTTGTTTACGTGCTTACCCGTGTGGCTGGGTTGAGATTGGGGCCTTATCGAGTGGTGCGAAGTCGTCCGACTACGTGGTCGTTCCTCGGATCCATGGGCACTGGGACTAACCGATCTGGGCGAGTCGGTGGCCCGAACCAAGCGATCGGCATAGCTGCGGGGACTTCAAGGATTATACGTTAGATTTGGTAAGTTTTAGGATAAAGCAGGGAAAAGGGCGGACAAAATATTAGCTCAATATTATTAGCTCAATAAATCGATTTCCTAAAAATATATACATTATATTAAAAAAGGTATAGAATCTTTTATGATTTCATTCATAAATGATGTTGGTGCTCAGATTGACCCTTGCAAATAAGTTGAAACACTTTGGAAAACCGTAAACCCTTTTAAATGTAGAGTATTCGAAGTCTTAAAAAGATATTCTTCTTCCCAACCATTTATGGCTATAACAACATTAAGGGGTGCCATAAAAATCACTAGGGTTTTAAAATCGCTTTTAAAAGTCGTTTTCGGTGTCTAAAAGTATGCAGTGAATAAGGGAAAAACGTACTTCGGAGTTTAAGATATATGGTTGCATACTTTTAGATACCAAAAACGACACTTAAATGCGATTTTAAAACCCCAGTGATTTGTGTGGCGCCCCCGATTAAATTTCCTATGTATCAAGAACGAATCCTATCCTATTTCCTCTTCCGCTAGTTAAACTTCAAATACTCGTAGTAAACGTATGGAAAATTGGATAAAAAATACAGCAAGACATAAAAACCAATAAAGGTTAATGTAATGTATTGACAACCGCCCGAGTTAAATGTTGTGCTATTATTTTGACCGCTTTTATTGACGTTAATCTCACCTGTAGCCGTGCGTCTGGGAGGTGGTTTGCGTTGACTCCTGGCGGTGTGGCAGGTGTTGCTGCTGAATCGCTGCCTGATGTGGCTGCTGCTGTAGCACCTGGTGGTGGTGCATCAGCGAGGACGCGGTGGCCGTCGCCGGTGGCAACCACATCTCCTCCAGAGAGGTGCGCCCACAGCTCTCCACCAAGCCGGGCGTCGATTGACAGCGGCCCATGGCAACTACATTAAAGTATTTGACTGTGTTTTAAATCAAAATCGTTTACAAACGGAAACGGACGCAAATGAAATCGATAACGAAAAGGAAGGAAAGACGGAACGGAAGGCGAAAACAATCGAATCGTGTTATTCTGGGGCAATCGTATTCGTATTCGTATTTGGTATTGGTATTGGTATCTTTGAATTTCGAGTGGTATTTGTATTTGGGCGGGGATTCAGGTGGTTCTTCTGGATATATTGTGTGGTTGGGTGGTTGGGTTTGCAAAGGAGGGGGGCGGGGCAAATAAGACAAGTGCCCTACCTTTCTCCAGCGGGGCCTTCTTGTACTTCTCCAGCCGCTTGACGGCTATCGACTCCAGACGAACACGCGCCGCCGGATACTCCTTCAGCACGTCCCACATGTCCTTCTTGCTCAGGACGAAGAGGTCGCTGTAGCCCACCGAGCGAACGCTGGCTGTGCGTCGGTTGCCTGTTTTTGTTTCGCATCGGGAAAGTTGGCAAAGCAAATGTTTGCCAACGCAAAGAGAAAAGTTTAATGGTCTTGCAAAAAAGCATTTCCCGCAGTGAGTCTGTGTGTGTGTGTTTCTCGAGTCAGTGTGTGTGTCTGTCGATTCTTCTTGTTGACTTGGGCGCACAAAGACATTAAAATTGCATGCCCCACAATATGGATGTTGTTGGGGTGGGGGGAAAATAGCAAGTAAATATTGAATGGGATCAACCGAAAAGATGTCCTGATTAAAATCTTTATATCCAAATTCGGTACATGCATTTCTTTTTTTCGCAGTCCCCCTTTTTCAGCAAGAAGAATCCTTCGTGGGAGTAGCTTGTGTTAACGGGTCGTATACTTAATTGAAATCACACAACTCGCAATACAATTACGTGTGGAGAAACGTTTAAATTACGTCCAGGCAAAGCAATACAACAACAACATCGACTCAGAGACAAATATATTATATAGAGTAGAATGAATATATGGAGAGATAGATAGAGACAGAGAGATTAAAATAGAGACAAAGACAGAGATAGCGAGAGCGACTAAGTAGCGTAAGAAATTACGTTTCGGTGTTTCAATTCCTGTGGACAATTCTCACCGTTGAGAGAAAGTACGAATGGAACTTAGCCGGAATAATGCTTAAATCATGCAGAAACTCAAAGAACTTTAAACAATTCGATTTTGCCGTCTCTAATTGCCGGGGTGGTGGGGGGGGTGGTGTAAGGTGCTGAATGGGGGGGTTTTAGTGCAAAACTTTTGGGCCACCTCCTTAACTTTTGCCTGCAAATTGAGTTGCTCTCGCCACTCTTGCTCTTCGGCAAACTCAATTAGATGGCACACGGCAGCGATGACGCCTTCAAGTATGCAACGAACAGATATCGCACATGCATTTGGCTGGAACGCAATCCCTTTAATTATGCTCCGCGTTGAATTTCCTCAATGAAGCGACTTCACACTTGGCTGGCCAACTATTACGCGATTTTAAAGCCATATAAAGTTCAGTAAATTGTTGTTTTTTCGATCCGCAACCACAATTATTGCGCCCGGTTTTTTCTTTTTATACTTTTATATATATATATGCCTACAATAAAAGTGTCGGGAACAATGAAAACGAGAGACCCGTGTGAGTGCATGCAGGTGCAATAATTGCATTTGACATTCATTAATTTTTCAACCCTGTGAAAACGGTGAGCAATAAAAATTCGTTGCATACTTTTAGGGCTGCCGCAAAAAAAATATGAACAATTTAAACTTGCAAAAAACGATCGAAAGAAAAAGCAATTCAACGAAAATTGTATATCCCCCCCGTATGGTATTAATAAATTAAAATGTAAATTTCATCACAATCGATTCGAGTGCTTGGCTACATATGTGCTGGGGGATTCGGGGGCTCTAAACCATATGTGGCTCGTTAGGATCGGGGGACTCCAGTTAACACTTAGTTGCACAATTACAGACAATTACATTCCACACATAGGCACAGATACGTTGTAGGCTTTCTAGAGTGTGTGAGTGTATGGTCTATTGATTAAGAGACTCTTTCGGTTTATCATTTTTCTGGACTTTTTGGGCTTGGAAGGTTGTTGTAGTAGTTACGTTATCGTTATTGTTCCGCCTGTCGCACTAAAACGGGATATTTACCAAGTTCTTTACCTGCGGTGCCCATATTGAGTATACTAATCTCGCCAAAATAGGAACCGGCCTTCAGGGAGGCCATCACCGTCTTTCCGTTGTCGGCCACCACCTGCAATCGTCCTCGATTCACAATGTACATCTCCTTGCCCACCTCGCCTGAATCCGGGGGGATCGGATTCGTTTCGATTTGGAATAGAATGAGATTGCGAATTGGAACAAAAACCAGTGAGAATTGCCAAAAACGATTGGCCTGGGCTTAGGGACTCACCCTTTCTGCAGATATAGTCGCCGGGCGAGAAGAGCACGGGCCTCAGGCGTAGTACCAGTTCGCATAGGAAACCGGCCTCGGTGTTTTGAAATATCTCCACCCGCTTAAGTGTATCTAAATGGACGTTAATTGCTATTTCAGCCTGGATTTGGAATGGGAGAAGATAGCGGCTTTAGTAATGGACAAATCATGTTTCGGGGCCCGTGTACTTACCTTTAATTTATCAGGAAGACAGGACACGGCGCGCTCCTCGTCCGAGCATTTTTGCGTAAGCCACAGGTAATCGAACCATTTGATGACCTTCACCTGCAGATGATTCGGCACACGTCGCATCCGCATGTACGTCTTCACGCCATCCAGCTTGGCTAAGATACGAAAAAAACCAAAAAAAAAGGGAAGAAGAGGGAGGAAACAAGAGAGGAAAATGTTTTATTTGTATTTGCTGAGGATTTTCCTGGAAATTGATACGCGACTGGCATATAAAGTGCGTGGAAATTAGGGGGTTGTTCAATGGTACACAGAAAGGACCATGGTCATTCATTTTCGTTTTTCCACAGAAGAAAAAAGATAATTTAGCTTCCTTTGCCAGGAGTTCTATGCACATAAATTGTTTGGGAAGATAAATAATTCAGGTACTTTTCACTTTTCACCAAATGGTTTACACAATTTGCATTTTAAAAGGGATTTTTATTAAAAAAGGTGTTTCTATTTAGAACAAGGGAGAACGCTATAGTCGAGTACCTCGACTATCAGATACCCGTTACTCAGCTAAATGGAGATATGCAAGCAGCAAAGCGAGATTAAAATGCGCCACCTACCGGCGGTATACAGATTTAAGCGTTATGGGCGTTAGAGTGGGCGTGGCAAATTTTTTTTTGGATCAATCGATAGGTATTGACGAGACCAATACATTTCAGTTAAAATTTTGTATCTAGCATGAAAATTGTGGGCGTCACAGGGTTTTGCGGTTTGTGGGCGTTAAAGTGGGCGTGGCAAATTTTTTTTTGGATCAATCGATAGGTATTGATGAGACCAATACATTTCAGTTAAAATTTTCTATCTAGCATCAAAACTGTAGGAGCCACAGTTTTGGGCGGTTTGTGGGCGTTAGAGTGGGCGTGGCAGTCTACTGAAACAAACTTGCGCTGCGTAGGAAGCTCAGGAATCTGCACGCCAAATCTCAATAGCCTAGCTCCCATAGTTTCCGAGATCTCAGCGTTCATCCGGACAGACGGACAGACGGACAGACGGACAGACGGACAGACGGACAGACGGACAGACGGACATGGCTAGATCGACTCGGCTAGTGATCCTGATCAAGAATATATATACTTTATGGGGTCGGAAACGCTTCCTTCTGCCTGTTACATACTTTCCGACGAATCTAGTATACCCTTTTACTCTATGAGTAACGGGTATAAAAATATTTTTGATTTTTCTACCACTTCAGTTATGAAATATTTTTTCCAGTATATATATTTAATTTTATTTTTAAAGATAGAAAGGGTTTTTGATACGATGTCAAAGGATGAGATAATAATTTTATTTTTAAAGAAAGAAAGGATTTTTCATACGATGCCGGAGGAAAATATATGCTTCTTTTTTTGGCTCTATCAGAAAATGCTGGATTTCGTACCATGGTACAGGGGATTTATCCTTTAATCGTTCAATCAAGACGGTCTGCATAAATTTGTAATATAGGGGTTTTGGCTGTCCGGCACATCTAAGCTCTTTGCGGCCCACCTGGCGTATGCTTGATATTGATTACTGCAACTTAGGGGAAGTATTCCTAGCTAACCCATCTTGTGTTTAGCCGGCAATTAAGAATACCTTCTTGTGGAGCAGCATGCTCAAATGGACTAACCACTTTTATCGGTGGGTCAGTGGTGCAGTTGCAGCTTAACAATGAGCGATGTTCGGTCGATTGGCAATATCTGAGGGGACGTGGGTCACTTCATGTGACCGGAATGCTGGCAGGGGGACATGGGAACTTCACTCCTGGTCGAGCAATATTGATGACAACTGGCTTTTGTTTCTAGTTTCCCGCTCCAGCACTCCACGGCAAGTCGATAAGAGGAAATTAAATCTCTTGGCTCGTCAGTGGTAACAAATATTGACACAATTTGTCGGCGCTTGCCAAAGGGGAATGAAAATGGGGGAGGCGGCAGGTGGAACTCAGCTGAACTGAGTGCTGCGTCTTTTGTGTTTGCTCGTGCAAACATTTGAAAACCAACTGACAAACAGGCAAACAGATTGAATACAAATAAATACCCTGTTACCGGGCTAAAAGTCCGGAGGGGGCGTGGCCGGCAACGACATCATCTATAATGCAATCAATCGTCAGCTCTCCTGCTGCCCGGCACACAAAGCTCAAGTTTTCCCTGTTGGTCATTTGTCATCTCTCAATTGTCAAATGTCCTTTGTTGTCCAACTCAAATTTCAGCTGGCTTGTCTTATAAGGGTGGAGCTGGGGGATCACTGGTATTGCAGTAATGGAAATGGCTTCTTCTTTTTAAATAAATGAACATGGTATCTCATATCTGTGATAAGAACTGACAGCCAGCCTGGGAAGTGCCTTCTAGCCAGTCAATTTAAAATCAAAATATATTAAACAATTGAACATGTTGTGTATGAGTTAGCTATGCATAAAGTTTCAAGGAACATATCTCAAAAAAAATATAAAAATAACAAGACAATCGGCGTGCCAAAGAAATCACTAGGATGTTGAAATCACTTTTAAATGCAATTTTAGGTGCCTAAAAGTATGCTACATTAAATTTTAAATTCACAATTGCAATGAATTCATTCAGAAAGACGCCTATTCTTTACTCACTGCATACTTTTAGTCACTTAATAAGTCATTAAAAATTTCTGTGGCATCCCCAATTGTACATTTTCCTCCCCGTGCTTAAAAAAAGATCAAATATTATTAAAATACCACATTTGGTTTTTTACAGGCAACCTAAAAATTACCCAGAAATAGTTTTAGTTGGAAATTAATTCAGCATTGAACACGTTTAATGATAACACGTTTTAATTAAACCACATCTAATCTTCAATTAAGCTTTGTATTACGGGCTCCTGAACAAAGGCAAATGAATTCAATAAAAACGCTTCACTAATTATGTACTTGCAATCTTAAATGAGCTGGCAACCGAAATAGTGAGCTCTGCAATTTAATTTAATACGTAAATAATCTCGATTAAGCTTTATTTTCTGGAATTCAGATTACGTTTCCCGCTTGGTTTACTCATGTTCTCGTGCCCCACTTCCGAACACTTTTTGTGGCAGACGCCAGCAAAGTGAAAGATTATTGAATGACAGTGTGTGCCTCTTGGCAGCCATTACATACATATATATCGCATAGAAATGGCGCATCATCCTCCACATTTTTTTTTTTTTTGCGATCCTGCTACCCATTTTGCTATCCAACATTTCAGTGATACGAGAGAGCCAGGGAAAATTACAACGATTTTTATTGCATTCGACACCCGGTGCCGTTTGAATTTTTGCCCACAATTGCTGGCACGTCCTTTGCGGGTTTTTGTTACAATTGCAAAATCAATCTAAATATTAATTGCATATCCCATGGCAGCCGGCAAAAATAAACAAATAGAGCAGCCAGTGGGTTCCTTTGCTTTTGGCCCGTATTTTATGCGGTTGGCTCGGTAATTGCGGTTGCTCTCGATAGACTCGTTTCCTGGCTATGTCTATGTCTATGTCTCTATGTTTTTGGTCTCAGTCTCGGGATGGTTTCTGGTGTTTTTAGAAATTACTCGAGCTTTAATTCCTTTGCTTGCTCTGTGGCTGAACAGAGCTTATCCTGTTTCTTCCGTCCTGTTTCGTTTGGTTACGTTTCGTACCGCATCCTGGGCTCATCTCTTCACTCTCCACTTTCCACTTTCTCCTCTTCCATTTCGTTGCATTTTGCGAGCAAAATTTAATTTGCCATTTTTTGCCCTCAAGTCACTTGGCTGCGTTTGGCCAAAAAGAGATGGGGAACGTTTGGGGCAAAAAGTGCATTTGGCTTCAACATTCTGCTTATTTCTTATTTATTTTTCATTTTATGCTCTGCTTCGCATACAGTTGCCCCCGGCGAACTTTGATCTGCTTCTGTTGCAATTTCCAATGGCGAATGGTGGTTATTTCTGCTTCTTTTTAGCCAGTTTTTGGGTCGTGGCTGAATGGCAGTGTCACCTCAAACTAAGCGCTGCCGTTTCCCAATAATTACATTTACTGTTTTGACTCGACTTTTGTCTCTTTCCATCCCTTTCTGAAAACCGAGGACAATTGTCGGCGAAGGATCAACTGCAGACAAAAGTCGGTTGTAGGTGGTAGGTGGTAGGTGGACTTTAGTGGCTGATATGTGGGTGCCTGCAAAAGAAATCTGGTGGCAAAAGTTCAGGCCATTGTCTTGCAACGAACTGCTGCAAGTTGCCGAGCGAACAAAGGGGGGATCACATACAAACAGTAAATATGCGTGACAAAAACTTGCTCTTCCGGTGCCACAGTCTTTTCATAAACCGCCGCACATACAGAAAAACACCGACCCAACAAGCATTCACAAAGATGGCAAAACAAAAAATGAGGAAAAAAATGGGGAAAAAAAAGGATAACGCAGAATTGTGGGGTGTCCTAGCCAAGTGAAAATTGCAAACTAACTAGAAACCACTTAAGAGTCAAGCTGATGTGTTATGCCAAAGACGGAAGTTGTGCTCGGGGACCGGGAGAAATGGGGCTTGGAGACTGGGTTCTGAAGACTCGGAACGGAACACAATGGGAGTTCAGCAGCAGAGGGAAAGGGATAAAACGCTCTGGCATTTACTGAATGCGCACAGGAATCGAAGGAATTGTCTGCGATTATCACCCAAGTGCAGAGTGAAGGAGAAGTAATGGTCTGCAGTTTCGCCACCTGCCGTTTCATCTTGCTTTCTCCAAATACAGAGAACAAATATCATGGATTTAGTTGGAATAAGGGGGTTGGGATAAAAGAAAATGGCTTTGGAATACCAATTCACATTCACAGGTTATGATGTTTTAAAGGTTTAATATTTGTTTCTAAGGCGTAAATTCTTCATTTCATTTTGAGAGCTTTTGATTTTTGGGTAAAATTTTTTTTCAATTTAAAAGCAATTCTCTTTTGTTACTTAATATTTAACACCTTGATTGGTCTTTTATAAACAATGAATTTTATTTATAATATTCCGAATACATTTTAGACTCACTTGATTATATTTATATTATATTAACAACGCTAAGAATCTCAACTAAATTAATATCATTGATTGGTCTATGATAAATTACACATTTAATATATATTTTTTTGAATACATTTTAGACTTAGTTGATTGTGTTTACCTATTTTATGTAAATAATGCTCATAACCATTACAAATACTTTGACGGCATTGCATTTAGCAGAAAACATGAGGTACTTTCATGTAAGCGAAACTTCATCCCTTGGCTTACATTTGAATCGAAAACATCTAGTACCACATTGTAAGCCACCTTTATTAGTGATTGAAATCCCCCTATTGTAGTTCCTCCACCCGGAAATGTTGCAAGTTATAACTTACAACCCAAAGCCGGAGATATACGGCAAGCCCTTGAATAGTGCAGATCCAATTTCAAGCGAAATGCATTCGGCCTCTGATTTTTGCACCTTAATTATGCATTTACCTACGCTGTTGATTCCACTGGCTCCGCAGGACTGGGGCAACAAACAATGGACGCCGTGTGGCAAGAGGAGCCGAGCTGAGCTGAGCTGTGTTGGGCAAGGATGATGCTGATGGGCGGATGATGGTGCCGGGGATGCTGGGGGTGCCGGGGATATGCTGGGCATGCTGGGGATGGATTTATTCAGGCGGTAACTAAAAATAAATGCGGCGAGCACCTCGGAGCGCCAGCAGTTTGCAATAACAATGCGCATGCCAGCTGCATCAGGAGCTGAAAGCTGAATGCTGAAATCCTTGGGAAATTCGCCATTCAAGGATAATGGAATACTTTGCCCTTAAAGAGCAGCTACATGCCGTAATACAACAACCACAACAGCAGCAGCAGCAAAAAAGTGAAAAAAAAGCGAGTGGAACAAGAACAACAACTGGCATGTTCTAAAAATACGACAGTAAGTTGGTGTACATGCAGCTTAATGGGCAAAAGCGGCCACCAGCGGCGACTGCGTCTACGATATTGATTGGAATCCGCATATATATATGTATGTATATATACCCCCCCCCCCCCCCCCCCACCACACACACACACACACACACACACGGTTACAACTGTGGGGCATAACCAGAAGCAAACATAAACTCACACAAACACAGGACATTGCTGTGGCAAGCAAAAGCAAACAGCGAAACGAACAACAAACACAAACCAAGCTGAACACATACACCCATGCAGAAAGGAGACCAGGACACTCACAGACACACACACACACGCAGCAAGGGCGGGCAACTTAAAGTGGATAATGGACATCCCCCTTTTACCGCCCACTTCCCCTCTGAAAAGAGGAAAAAGGCGTGCAGGGGGGGTGTTAAAAAAGGGGGTACGGTCTGGAAGCTGGATTAATCGAAGAAAACGATACCCTGGAAAGGTATGATAAAAATCCTCTGACAGATCCTTTCATTTCGGAAGACGACTCTTTGAGGAGTATACGTCCGTACCCCCTTCTGTTTTTTATAGACCCAACACTGAGAAAAATTTAATTACAATAAATAACAAATTACTATAATATTTGCATCTATAACAATGTGATCTTATAACTTGAAATATTTATTTTTGGAGATTTATTTTGTTTCAAGAAGTTGGTTCTCTTTCTGTTTTTTATAGAACTACCACTGATAAAAATTATAATACAATAAATAATAAATTAGAATAATATTTTCAATAACAATATGATTATATAACTTGAAATATTTTTTTTTGAAGATTTATTTTGTTTTAAGAAATGGGTTCTCGATAGTCCATATTTTAAGTAGATATGATTAATTTGTTTTTATTTGTTTATTTTGTTTTAAAATCATTAAAATTTAACTCCTCTTAGATTAAATGAATTCAGAGGCGTAGCCAGAAGGTGTTTGAGTGAAATGCCATGCCAAATATTGTGTTAAAAAGTATGCTGCACAAAATTCTTTATGGAATACAATAAATAATAAATTAGAATAATATTTTCAATAACAATATGATTATATAACTTGAAATATTTATTTTTGAAGATTTATTTTGTTTTAAGAAATGGGTTCTCGATAGTCCATATTTTAAGTAGATATGATTAATTTGTTTTTATTTGTTTATTTTGTTTTAAAATCATTAAAATTTAACTCCTCTTAGATTAAATGAATTCAGAGGCGTAGCCAGAAGGTGTTTGAGTGAAATGCCATGCCAAATATTGTGTTAAAAAGTATGCTGCACAAAATTCTTTATGGAATACCAAATCCTAACTACCCCTATGAACAAAAAAATTCTAAAAATTAACAAATAAAGCAAAAGCCCTACAGTCCTGAACATATAAAAATTAAAGATTTATTGACCTTAAAAACCTTGAATTAATTCGCTCAGTGTGCGAAAAGGATATCGCCGTTACCAGGCCAATGTCGAATGGCTGACGCGCGTTCTTGGCTCAGTTCGTTTGCTTTTCGTCACTTCGCCTCGCTGCTATTTTTAGCACCTCCACTGTGGGCTTGCCGCATCAGCAGCAACAACAAAAACAGGGGCGGGCAACAACACTCCGTCCATTATGCATTTACCAAGTCGAAAACGCTTGGCTAAGGCACTACAAATCTCCTCCTTGGCCACCATTCTGGTTTGTTTGTGCTGGCTTAAATTGAGCGCGTAAATTGTTTTAATTGCGAGGCCAAAAGCCAAGTTCCGCCAAGCCAAGCCAAACAGACGTTAATTGTAAATGAAGACTGAGTGCTTTACCAGCAAGTGGAGAAAGCAGAGAATGCCATAAATATTTAAAAACTAAATAAAGCAGGGGAATAAAATTGGAAAAACACACAGAAACACTTGCACAAACAGGGACCAGGGAGATGATTCATATGCAAACTGTCGGCATGCATCAATCAAGGTCCGTTGACAGTTTTGCTGACAGCGGGAAAATTTGCATAAAACTATTTACAATAACAATTACATAATGGGGCCCAGAGGGATGGGCAGAGATATGGGTCGGAATTTCCATAATTTTAAATGTCAGTTTTTGAAATGGTGTTTGGACTGTTGCCAAAACAGGCAAAAATTCAATACACAGCGCCAATACAGAAAGTGTCCTGAATGTGAGCAGGTTGCTAGCCATTATGTTGGTTTTTACACTGGGAAAAACAAAAGTTGCTTATGTTTTTTTTTAAAAATTGACCACAATTCTGAAGAGCTTTGTAAATAAGAAAGCTATTTTAAATAAAAATATTTTTATATGATGTGATTCTGGTAAGACTTATAAAGAAATCACTTTGTATTTGTACATTTAGACCGGATCACATGGTTAAAAATATTTATTATTAAGGACATTGGCATAAAAATCAGATTGAAAATCAAATCAATTTCCACAATATTTCTCTAAACTAAAAATCTGAGAGAAGTCCTGACATTGTTTTATTTTAGCAAACATTTAGAGAAGTTTACGTATAATAAGTTCTTTATTCCTGCCTTATGTGACCCCATTTTCTTTTAATTCTAGATAGTCGATTGTTTTTAAATTGGTTTCCAATTATGTGTAATTATTTGTCTAAGTGCATTCGGTTGAGTATGTGAGAGCTTGTCGATTATCGCAAGCATTCGGCGAACGGCAAACTTTTGCGCTTGTCGGCGTTAACAAGCCACAGCCATGCGTTTAACTAAGCGTGAATGTAACAGTGTGTGTGTGTGTACGGGTTAGGGGGTGGTGGGTGGTTGGAAAGGGGTGTAGAATCTGTCAACGTGTGGCTGTGTGTATGTGTGTGTATAGGGTTGGCTAGTGGCAACATTGTTGCAAAATGATTTCGAAAAAAGAACCATCAATAACTCAAATATAATGACAGTTTTCCACTTGTTGTAGTCCCCCAAACCCAACCCCCTAAAAAACCAACCCACCGAACCCCCAACCCCTAAGTGGGGCTAAATGGATGAATAACTTAAGCCAGCTGCTTCGCCTTTCCTCTTAGTGTGCGATGTTATGTAATGTAATAACGTCAATCAAATTTAAAAAGGCAGACCAACTATTTCAAAATCAATTTTCCCGACCGCCCCCGGCCTCCCATCGCCACCCCGTTTTCATCCAGCAGCATCAGCGGGAAAGTGGAAAAGTGGAAAAGCGGCGGAAGGAAACAGGAAAGCGACCTCGACTTAAGCAAATACACAAGCACAAGTTGTTGCTGCATCAGAGGAATCCTGAGTAGGATGTAGGATGTAGGATGTAGAATGTAGGTTGTGGAGGATGTAGGCTAATGTAGCAGAAGAAGACCCCGGGACTCAGTCACTTTGCAAACAGTATCCCCCCACTAAGCTCTGAGATCTGACTAGCGCAATTTGCAGTGAGGGACCGTGACACCGAGTGAAAAAGTGCCTGCCTTAGTTAAGGTTAAGTTTAAACTTTTGACTGGCTCGTGGTTTTCGCCAACCGCCATCCGCCAACCACCATCCACCATTCGCCATCCGCCATCCGCCTTTTGCCCTGGGAGAAATGTATCATTCGTGTCATTAATCATTCGTCATGTGGGACGGCGACAACATTTCATTTGCTTATCATCCCGGCTCAAAGTCTTTGGGGGAATGAAAGCAACAAGAGCAGGCCTCAAAGTTGAACGAATCAAATGGGCTGCCGGAAAACTTATTGCTAAGCCTAGAAATCCCTGACAAGTCAGTGGCTTCCCGTCCTCTGAGAACAAAAGACGAGCTTAACTCTAGCATTTGTGAAAATCAAGAGTGAAATCATTAGCAAAACGGTGTGATATGGTTGGTAATTAGTTTCTTGCTTGTATTATTTTATCAATTTGCCAAAAGCAAGACTCAACACATATTTAAGAAACACAAATAAATCTCAAGAGCATGGGAATTATTGAAAGCTTTTTCAATTCAGTTGATTAAATTTAAGAAACAGATATGATATACTTTGTGTTTATAAATCAAACCAATTACTAAGGATTTTAATTGACTTTCTTCTTAATATTCCCTGAAGGGCAAGGATTACCAGTCCAACTCCTTTCAGGTTTGCGAATGGAAGAGCATTTATTCAATTTGTTATTTTTACTTTTTTGCCATCCAAGCCTTGCTTGATTTTTTATGGCCAGCACTCCAGCACAACTACTGCCCATCATCATCATCATCTAACATCATTCCTGTCCCTTGGCCGGCCACTCAAAGGCAAGCGCTGAATTGACAAATTGATGGATGGTTCTCCAAACGCTGCAAGCTTCAGCATCTCTCCTTTACTTTCTTTTTTTACTTCTTTCCCTTCGGTATATATGATGCATTATTATTCCGGAAAAGTTTGCGACCGCAACAACAACAATTGCTTGCCTAAGTGTTTTATTAGCCATCGAGAACAGAGTTTGAGTTCGGTTGAGTTGAGTTGATTGTCAGTTTCTATACACATCGGTTTTTTCTGTTTATTTTTTTCCTTTCTTTTTTTTTGTATACAATTTTCCTGAATTGCTTTTTGGGTTTCATTGGTCAATATGCCTTCTATTTTGGCCCATGAGCTGACGTATGAGCAGGTTCAAGAGCTAAGGGATGCCTTCGATAGGTACGATCTGGATTCAAGTGGCACTCTTTCGGCGACTGAGATGCGTTTGGCTCTGATTTCCGTGGGTCACGAGATCACTGAAGCAGAGCTATACGATCTCATTCGCTCGGTGACTGTGGGAGATGGCCAAGAACTGGATCTGCAGCATTTTATGCAGATGATGGCACCCCGAATGGCCGATATGGACAGCGATGAAGCTCTTGGCCGTACCTTTAAACTCATCGATCGGGATCACGATGGCTTCATTAGCGGGCAGGATGTCCGAGCGATCATGCTCATCCTGGGCGAAGTCGTTACCGATGAGGATGTCAGGGATATCTGCCGGGCAGTCGATATGGATGGCGATGGGCACATAAGTCTGCGCGATTTCATGAGCTTCATGCACAGCCCCATATGAACTTGGTCCGCAATAAAAATTTAACATTTTTTCAAAGGTAAATGTGCCGAAAAATATTGTACATACAGAAAGTAATCACAGAGAACAATTAAGTCCGAAATTTAATGTAAATATAAGTCGTATCTCGGGATGACTTTATAAAATGTTATTCAAAAAAAGGAACAAAAGATTGCAAGCAAAACAATTTGAGATTCATTTTTGTAAAATGTTAAAATTAGCTTGCCCTAAAAACTATATTTCTGGATATCTTATCAGGGATTTTTAAATAATGTGTTTTATTTTTCATTTGGAACTTGAGAAATTTATATACCAAATTTAGGTTTATAAATCTATGAGTAGTGGTTAGCTACATTTCATTCTATATATTATTATAATTATTATTTTATATTACTTTAAAAAGATGGATTGCATGTTTTAATTGATTTTGGTATAATTTTCAATCAGTTTATTTCAATAAAAAATATTTAAAAATCGAAACCGATACTTTGAGGTATATTTCTGACTGCAGGCGAAAAAAACGAAGGCGTCTGAATGGAAAACGGAAAGGAAAAAATTGAGAGCATAAAGCCAGAAATTAATTCAGCAGCACGTTTCGTCCATTAAGCCGCCAGAGCTTTGCTTGCTGACTTTGCCACCCCTCCGCCTCCGCCCCTGCCCCGGCCCCGCCTCCTTTTGCAGGACATGGACATGGACACATGGACACATGTGCAATGGCCCCTCACAAACACACATGCAAAGTGTTGTGTAAACAAGTCAGCTGCCAGTTGGCCGGCAGCTGCAGGCGGGGCTTAGAGGAGAATATCTGGAGGAAACTGAAGCTGAAGCTGAAGGAGAAGTGGCCTGGCCAGAAGGAAGAGCCAGCAGAAATCAAGGTGCCACGCCCCCTTCGGATACGCCCACCGGCGTCCAATTGTGCTTTGTTTGCCCCCTGTGGCAGGAGTCCACCGAAACCACCTTGACTCGCTGTCGTCGAGAGTGGCTTTAATATTTTTCAGCTGACGCTGCTCTTAATGAAAGCAAGAAATGATGCCCACTGCTGGCGCTTCTTCTTATCCTCGTTTCCGCTTCCTCTAATGCGTCTTTCCTCCTGGCTTGTGCACTCAGAAAAAAAAACTACATTAAAGAAACAAATCTATAAAATATTTTTTTTGACCTGACGGTATACACATTTTTCAGTAAAATTAAGTAACTAAGTATTACCCTAATCTATAGATTATTAAATTATAATTTTAAAAAAAATGTTATCACGGAAAAACTTATGTTTTATATCATTTTAAGTATAACCTCACCTCAAATCATTAATAAAATTTCTAGTTCTAAAACGTGAGACTGTTAGTCCTAAAAAGACATTGGATCTTTCAATATTAAACGTTTCATTTTTCTTAAAAAATCTCAGAAATCCATTCCATTGCCAAAACAATGTTTCCAGTGTAGCCTGAGCTAGTCCTTCTTTGCCTTTCACTTGGCATTTTCCACTTAGCTGACTTGGATTGCTCTTGCATTTCGTCCAGTTATTTATGGCCCGGCCGAGTAAACGAGTTCATTTAGCTAATGGCCGTACGCCCAACTGAGCCTACGAGAGATTGCTCCACGAGTCCTTCGGGTCCTTCGAGCGCTCTTTGTATGACACAATGGGCATTATGGGCATTACGGGCTCTGCCACTGGCGCTGGCACAGTCACATCATCTCATTGCCATAGCTGCGCCAGATTTCAATATTTTGCATAAAATTGGCCGAGCTGGCACAGCTTTCAACCCCCAACAATCATATATAGTACATTCCCCCTTTCAAACAACGCAGCTTAAGGATAAGTACGAGAGCATTTGCCCATTGTTGTCCTGTTGCCTTTCTTCTTCATCCGCATTCATATGCTGCAAGGTCCTCTTCCAGTTGTCAGGACAACTATGAGCAACAAGTTTGGTCAGTTTTTGTCAATACGCTGGAAAATACCTTCGGCTTCTATTGTTGACGTTCACTTTTATCATTTTGTAGGAGAAGTCAAAGCTGGAATTCCGGTGATAAGCTGGGTGGGGCATTATTAATATTTCGTTCTTATATCATAATGCCAGCTTTATTTATATGCCAATTTATTGTGCCAAAATAAAACTTGAGATTTGTAAGCAAGGATTTAAAGAGCGTACCATCAATCACAGATTTTTCCTTTCTTTGCATAAAACAAAAACAGCAATTAATCAGGCTAAGTATTTTGGATAGTATTCAGAGCATTGATTGTGTAAAGAAAACATTTCTATGCTTATTGTTGAGAAAATCCTTATTGTTTAATTTTTCCCAGTATTTTCCTTGCATCAAGAGTCGTCAATCATTTTGTTTTAAAGTATATTGCACTATTTCAATGAGCGCTTATAACGTTCAGAACAGCTTGCTGTGATTTATGAATAATGGCTTGATTTTCTTCGCGGATAATAATAAATAACCTTTGTTTATTTGTTTGAGAAAAAAACTTCACAAAATGATGCAGTAGCCTAGTGCTTTTTAAAGGATGTGAACTTTTATATTAGTGTTTCTTAGAGTACGTGGTTTTTTATACATTCTTATTCTAGGCTAGCAGCTGTCTGCATCAAGGGGTGGCAACCCTGCTTCCCTGCTTCAGCTCTGCCGTCACACGCACAGTATACAATTATCGATTAAAAATGGTAACACATTTCCTTTTCAGGACAGACGGATTTGAATTTTTAAGTCGGTATACAGGCATTTTAAAAGGTACTCACCTTGAAATTCCTTTCTTGCTGCACTCACTGACGTCACTATGTTGGCCACGTGACCGAGGACCGTGGCGAAGAGCATCAGGCCGAAGAGCAGCTGCAGGATCACGAAGACATACTCCCCCTTGGAGCGCGGCTTGGGCAGATCCCCGATGGTGGTCAGCGCCAGGGTGCACCAGTAGTAGCTCTGCAGATACTGCTTGACCACGTCCGCCGACTCCGAGTCATGGTACACCCAATTGCGCGATCCGAACCCATTGTTCTTGTGGATGATGTGATAGAGACAGCCGTTCCAATGGAATATCACAAGCAGGTAGTGGATGAGGGCCGTGCTTCGGAAGAGATTCGGGTAGTTGGTGTGCCGCTCGGTGCGATCCATGAAGGCCCAGAACCGGTAGATCTTTACCAGCCGGAAGCTGCGCAGGATCGAGTTGAAGCCAATGGACAGGTAGAGAAAGTCCAGCGGCAGCAGGCACAGGCAGTCGATGTAGAAGATCGTCGAGTTCATGTAGTGGGTGCGGAGCTTTAGGGCGTCCGTCTGGAGCACCCCATCCTCCAGGTATCCGGTGCGAAAGTGGAACAGTATGTCGATTAGATACAGGAAGTCGGACAGGTAGTCCAGGCAGAACCAGATGGCGATCGTGCGCCGATTGATCTCCTGGAAGGCGAAGCGGTAGATTATCACCCAGAAGTTGTACAGGAAGGCCATGGAGACCACCATGGACCAGTAGTAGCACAGTCGCCCCGCCGGATCGAAGACGAAGTGCAGCTTCCTGGCCGCCGTCGCCGCTCGGATCCGCTGCGAGGCCGTTCGTCGTGGCTTCTGGTGGTGCGGCGGTCCGCCGTGAGATCCTGGCCCACTACCGCCCCCGCTGCCAGCGCCACCGTGGTGCGGGTGATGCGGATGGCCGCCGTGGGGCGGTCCTGGCCCCCCCGGGCCACCCTGCGAGGGTGGACCATGTGCGTGCGGGTGGTGCGACACCGTGGAGGCCGAGTGCTGCAGCTGGTAGGGGTGGTGCGCCTGCTGGGCGGCATTGTGGTGCCCCTGCTGCTGCGATCGGGAGCGCGGGTAGCTATGGAAAAGAGATGGAAATCGGATTAAAATTGAGTGTTATTTAGTTGTTTTGAAATCATATATAAAAGTGTCTAAAAGTGAGCAAGTGTAACTGTTAAGCTTTTCAATCCTTATTCTAACTAATTTTTAGGCTTTACATTATTATTTACTAGCAATTTTCTTGGCCTCAACAGTTTTATTTAAGGTGATAGCGGAATTTTATTAAGTAAACCATAGAAACATGTAATTACATTTATGATTAATTTAAGATCTTCGTGGAGACCACACAAATCACTAAGCTCTAAGAGTATGCAGCAAAATATTTTAAGCTGCGGAGTACAATGAATTCATTCAGCAACTGGACTATGCTTTTTTCACTGCATACTTTTAGGCACCTAAAACTAAGTTAAATATGATTTGAAATCCCTATTGAATTAAGTTCCCTTGATTTTTAGATTTCTAAGCTCTATAGATCTAAAATGATATATAGAATTCCCCTGGCTGTCAAATACCTACCGATCTGTGCCGTTGCAGTAGTTGCCACCGTACTGGTTGTGGCCGCCCATGGCCAAACTGGTGGCTCCGCCGCCGGCCAGTGTGTTATCCTGCGAGCCGCGGCCCGTGGAGCGGTTCCAGGTGCCCAGGAGCGGCTGATCGCCGCTGGCAGCCGCTTTCAGGCGACCCCGCGACTTGTTGCGTTGCTTGTTGTGCAGAAGATCCATTTCTGAGGCAGTGCTTACGGTGGCCATGTGCGAGTTGGAGGCCCTGGAGGCGCATGGTGTGGCCAGGCTGTCGTGCGAAGTGAAGAAACCTTGTTGCGAGACACTCTGCCCGAATTTCGGCTGGGTCATGCCAAACTTTGGTCCTAGATCTGTGGGTAAAATTAACAGATGTATTGAGTGATAAGTATTTATATAAACAAATATAAATATTTTTAATAATGGGTAAAGGTTAAAGATGGGATAACAACATATTGAGCAGTTGGGGATACAAAAAATCTAAGTTTTTGATTGCTTGGATATATATCTTTGAAAAATCTTAGCAATTTTTCCAGGAAACTTTTAGTTTATTTTGAAGTTCTGCTAAAGGCAATTGTCATACGGTCTGAGTGCAAGCAATAAAGCCCAGCGAAATAATGACCCTTAGCACTTTTGTCTTGGGCGATATCACACTTTTTTGAATGTAGTAAGGCCCAAGGGCGTTATTGCATGGACCCATAAATTCTTACCAGATAAAAACATTAAAATAGTAGTAGTGAATATTTACTAAAATAAAATGTTCTTCTGTGTTTAGTGAAAAAATCTACGTTTCAAAAATAATATAAATCCAATTTAACATTGTTTATGCCTTTTTCCAATTTGGGTGTTTCTAATATACCAAATTGCTGTTAATTTTTCTTAACTTTTATCATTGTTTTCAGGGATCTGGGGTCTGGGATCACGTGGCCTTACCGAGAAAGCTCTGGCGATCGATCGAGAACCGGCGCAGGCTCCCCAGATCGATGAACTGCTCGTCGCCGGCCATTGTGGGTGTGATCGAGAGTTCGGTTGTGTGAATGGCGGCACCACCAGCACCACCGGCACCACCACCGCCAGTGCCACCCACTTGCGAGGGTCCACCACCACCACCTGCCTTTGCACTTGCACCCGCTGAAATACCACTCGAACCACCGCCCACAGTGAGATTGGTGCAAGTGGTTCCACCGCCCGCACTTCCGCCCATTCCGGCGCCCAAATATCCGGCATTGCTCGCATAGAAGCTGCCATCCAGCTCGGCCATTTGCTGCTCATAGGCGGTCAGCGGGTTGATTGACCTCGAGCTGTGATCCCGATAGAGGGGGCGGGGCGAGGGCATCAGCGAGGGGTTGAGCAGCCCATTGAGCGAGAGGCGTGGCTGCATTATCTCCGGAAAGCTGGCCCTTGGCGCTAATCCTTGGCCAATGTTTGACTGAGATGTTGCTGTTGTCCTATAGTTGTTGCTGCTGCTGCTATTGTTGCAGCCGTTGTTTTGACGTATTGCGACAGTTGTTTTGGTCTGCAGCCTGTCATTGTGAGCGGCATGAGCCTGTGTCTGAGCCTTCTGAGCCGGCGTCCTTAGCCATCGTTCATCATCATCATCATCATCGTCGTCATCAACGTCGTCATCGTCATCGTTGGCATCGCCATAACCATCGACATGGTTTTCGTTGTCATTGCCATCTGCATCGCCATCTATGGCCGTCGACCGCCTTAAACTGGGCGTGGCAGCTGCAATTGCCACCATTGTATCACACAGTTTTTGTTGTCGTCGATTAATTTGCAATTGGTTTCGCATTGATTAATGTTCGAATGGGGAAAGCACGAGAAATGTGATCAAGAGTATAGAGTTTAATTAATTGCAATTTCTCCATTAATAACATTTTTTGGTTTTGATTTTTTTATTTGGTTTTTTCTAGGGGGTTTGAGGCGGAAACACACACAGAAATGAGCGAATAAATCACAATAAGAACGAGTGAGATAGGATTGGTTTGGTGGTTTGGTGGTGGTTTATTTTTTTTTTTGGTGGCTACAGGTGGTTTGCTGGTTGGTGGTGGAGGTGTTGAAAGTGTTGGTCTTTAACAACAACTCAACTGCAATAACGGTATCAAATAGCAACAGCATTCAACAAGAAACAACAACGAGAGTTACAAGAACAAAGGTATTCGTACAGCTAGGACTTATAGGTATATGGATATAATTGTGGGTAAATCTTACCAAAACTTGTAGTAAATTTAATACTATGGTCTTATATACTAACATTTGGAAGGGTTTCAAAGCATTTTATAAGGTTTGTCTATTTATTGGGTGTCTAAATGTGGTTTTAAATGAATTCAAAATAGTATTGCATACTTTTAGACACAAAAAAAAATAAAGCTATTTTCTACAGCTTAATTAAATTGAATTTGCATTTGGATGAGTGGTTGATATGAGTAGGTCAAATTCTTACAAACATCTTTCTCTGTTTATAGTATACAACTTGCATGCAAAACTTAGTTTCCTGATTGTGAGGTGATGGCTAAGTTACCTTCGCACCAAAGTTGCTCTATCACCACTTCGAGTCCCCCGAAATGTGCTAATAAAGTAAGATTTAATTACGTGCGCCTAAATGGAGCATGCAACACAGAAAAAAAGTGATAGAAAGGCACACACGCCGTGGCTTCATTACTTTTAACCAGCTGCCTGGCAACTGGCACTTGGAAATTCATGAGCTGCCACACGCAAAGGGTCCGTACGGCTTGGCCCCGAAGATCCTGGGATCCAAAGGACTACAGGCTCAAGTGCCACTTGACTGTCGAGCAGACAGACAATGGCCGGGACTGTTGGCTTCTAGATATTGTATCTGTATCTGTATCTGCGATGTCGCCAGCGAACTGCGTGCGGCGCCAATTTATTTCTATTACGACCCATTCGTGTCCTCCGCCTGTTGCTCCCTCCGCCAGGATGTCAGGATTCCAGGACACAAGGATACGGTGCCACATGGATACCTGCCTCCAGCTGAGTGCCTGGCCATTGATTATTGGCAGACCGCTTTTAATTATTGCTCAGCTTCTGGCCAGCGTAATTCAATTAGGCCACCAAACAATGATGCTGAATAGATTGCCCCGAGTCGAGTGTCTGTCGCGTCGCGTCGGTTCGCGACTAAAATGCAAAAATTGTCAATTACTTTGGCCCACCTGCCATTTCCATTTCCATTTCACCCCCAACCCCGCCCACTCACCTTTTCGCCCCTCTGACACGAATTTGCACTTTCCTCGCTGGGCAATAATTTCTAATTAATTCGCGCTTAATGGCCACATACAAATCAACTTGACCGCGTTTATTTATTAACTAATTCCACGTCATCCACGCCCTGCGTTGAAATACTTTTTGCGGTTGGCAAACTGGAAAAATAAATGTTATTTAGCTGCAAATGAATTAATAACAAATTCCAGAGCTTTCACAACGCCCCCTCTGGCATTAAATGTGAGTACACATGAAGTTTATCAGGCTAATTCACTATTTTTAATCCGCTTTCGGAAACGAAATTGAGGGAATGTAAGTACATTATGTTACAAAATAGAGCAAAAACTAAATCTGAACGTTTGGCAACATTTATTTACTCACTAAGCTGTTATTAAATTTTACAAGTGAGTTACAATGTCTGACACTTGATCTATGTATAAACCAATCAAGTCAAATGCAAAATGTGCAACATAGCTTGCAATAGGATATTCTTAATTGATCATATGGTTTAAAGGTAAAATAAACCTGTATTTATTTTTGTGCAACTTTCCTATTTACTAACGATTTATAGATTTTAGTTGACATTTAAAGGGTTAAAGACCAAGTATTAGACAATCTGTATTTCAAAAACTGATTGTAGCCGGCACACTTGTTTGATTTTGGTTGTTCCTCGCAAACTTAGTTCTCGAGAGTGCATTTCGGTGTCTGGGGAAAGTTTCGACCTACACGCAAACAACGTCAATGTACGGGTATTGCGTCATTGGCAATTTACAAGCCTGTTGCCCACTTTCAGGCGCTGTCACCGCAAATTGGGCCTTTTCCTGTCTAAAGTCGAAGATGTACATATATATACACACAACGAGAAAGACAGATGGGCGGAAGGGAAAACCCATCCCTGTCCCTGACCGCATTCCAAGTTTGCAGACATAATCTTGGCACTATTTAATTTTGCTAATAGTTGAGTGTCATTAATTTAAACTTTTACGCTTTTTGGTTTGTCTTGGCTGCGACCCCGGTGATAACAAAAACAGGGCACAAGCGGAAAGGGAAAGCGGCTGAGTGAGATAGAGCGAAGAAAAATGAAAAATCTTCAGCTTAATGTGCGGCACTTTGTCATGGCCTGCCAGCCGGAAACGGAAACTTGCGACAAACTTGCGCAAAAGTTCAACAAAACGCTTGAACGGCCTCACTCACATACACACACAAAGAGAGAGGGACTTCCTGGGTTTTCTGGGTATAAACCACGAGCCATGAATTGTCAATAAATTTGCCTGCCGCAAATCATCACAAGTTGGTTCGGCTTGGGTTACTTTTTGCCTGACCAGCGAAACCAACCGATGTCCTCCAAAGAAAAATGCTGCAAAAGCGGCATTCTGAGGGAATTTCGGACAAAAACTAAACCTCAATTATTTGGTGCAGCTGCCTGGGCAAATGAAAATATTTGAGAGCACAAAATACTTTGACAAAAGTTGGCTGAGCAAACTTTGCTTAAACATACTTCAGCCTTACACAAATACGCGGCGGGGAAGGGCAGGGAAAAAGGGGTGGGGCGGTAGGGTGGACCATGAACACAGCTCAAAGTGGAAATGAAAACTTAAACGACACAAAGAGGAACTCGAGCCGTAAAAACATTAGCCAAAAACGAACTTCAAATGCCTCCAGGAGAGGGCGGAAAAGAAACAGCACAGTCAACTGCCAGATGAACCGAAAATAAAGCTACCTTATTATAATTACATAAAACATAATTGTTATCAAACTCAAAACAAAATGAAAATAACGTTAAAATTCTTGGGGATATCATTTTTATATAAATTTCCCTAAGCACACGATTCATTTTGTTATTCAGCACCATATCATATCGGTATCTATCAACATTTAACTAAAATTTATGATAACAGTAATCCATTTCTTAGACTTACACTTTTATATGGCGCCCAAATACCAAAATGTAGCCATATTAATAGTGATAATGATGGTCTGTAGTGGAGCGCATCGCATGAAGCGTTTGTCCGCGCCCGATTTTTTAGGGGATGAGACCCTCGAGATGAGCAAGTACGTGGTATCCATCAGATCGAGAACACCGAACAAGTATTTTGGCGACAATCACTATTGTGGCGGTGGTCTGTTATCTCCGCACTGGGTGATAACCGCCGCCCATTGTGTTATGGGGTAGGTAGATCCTTTATGGGTCCCTTGGTTTTGGATTAATCAATCTCTAATTCTAACCTCTAAAATTCTGTAGCCAAGCCAAGATCATGTACAAGGCTCGCTGGCTATTGGTGGTGGCCGGATCCCCAAGTCGACTTCGAAATATCCCAGGCAATACTATCTGCACGCCGGTGGAAAGGGTTTACGTCCCAAAGAACTTTACCATGTATAACACCTGGAACATGGCACTGATGAGACTTCAAGTGAAAATGCCCTTGAAGCACCCTAGAATTGGATTCCTTCACCTGCCGAATGCAGCACCTGAAATTGGCGTAAATTACTCAGTTCTCGGCTGGGGAAGATTGTATGCGGTAAGCCACAAACTAACTCTGTTTTTGATAATTTAAACTAGTTCCTGTAACTCTAGGGTGGACCTTTGGCAGTGAGAATTTATCAGTTGGAAGTGTCTCTTCTCGATAACGATGTGTGTAAGACGCATTTTCGCCACTACAGGGTTGGAATGATGTGTGCTGGAAGGTATAATTGGACAGTGGACGCTGACCCCTGCAGCGGCGACATCGGATCCCCTATGATAAACGGCAGGGTGCTTGTCGGCATAGTTGCCTATCCCATTGGCTGCGGCTGCAGTCATATTCCTTCCGTCTATACGGACGTGTACAGCAATATAAATTGGATCAGAACTACGGCCTTTAGCCTTGCCAGCACCCCTAGACCTTCGCCATTCATGGTGTTCCTATTGCTTAATCTAGCTCAAGTCAGTTGGAATGGCCACAGAACTCTAAATTATTTGTTTAACATATTTAAAAATTCTAGAAACGAAGAATTTGTAATATCGAGTCAAAACACTTTGTATTTGGAGTAATAAATGTTAGGTAAAATGTAATTTTAAAACCCTTTCTTTAGTATCATGGCTTATATAATGTTTTTGTAGTCTTGGGACAATCGGAACGGTCACAGAATCGTAAATAATTGTTAACCGATATTTAAATTTGAAGTAAATTGTATTTGGATTGATCATAGTATGATTTTATTTAAACAAACTCTCTGAATTTACCAAAGTTTATAGTTCGACTGGAAACCTTTTTAAAACTCATGCAAATTTAGGTACTGCTTGCGTTAGATTAGTGACATTTTCAGCTTCGTTACCATAGATCCGGCCAAAAGTCCTTGGTCACTCCAAATTGGCACAAAGCACGGATGAGAGCCGCGTCCATGTGGCTTTAATTGACATGGCCGCCCCTCTGCCCCAAAAAAGGGCAATAAAGCACTCAAAATCTGATTTTCCAGAGCTGTGAAATGAAAGTGGGAAATTCGATACTGGCTGGCCGTAGCGAGTG